TATTCTTGTTCCATTTTGGCCAATGAACCTGAAAATGCATAAGAACATAGAAATGAAGATAATCTACATAAATTAACATACAACGGACTTTACTAATGCAATTTAGGGCGCTTGAATATATAATATTCGGCGCTTATCAGCAGGTGAGTGTGTATAAGTGTGTGAGTGTGTGCAAGGGAATGTGTGTGTAAATGTGTGAGTGTGTGCAGGTTAGTGTGTGTATGAATAAGTGTGTGAGTGTGTGCAGGTCAGTGTGTGTATAAGTGTGTTGTGTGCAGGTGAGTGTGTGTATAAGTAAGTGTGTGAGTGTGTTGTTGTTGTGTGTGTGCGTGTAGGTGAGTGTGTGCAAGTAAGTGTGTACAAGTGAGTGTGTGAGTGTACAAGTGTGTGCAGGTGAGTGTGTGTATAAGTGTGTGAGTGTGTGCAGGTCATGTGTATAAGTAAGTGTGTGAGTGTGTGCAGGTAAGTGTGTATATAAGTGTGTGAGTGTGTGCAGGTTAGTGTGTGTATCAGTATGTGAAGGTGAGTATGTGTATAAGTGTGTGAGTGTGTGTAGGTCAGTGTGTGTATAAATAAGTGTGTCAGTGTGTGCAGGTGAGTGTGTGTATGAATAAGTGTGTGTAGGTCAGTGTGTGTATAAGTGTGTTGTGTGTAGGTTAGTGTGTATAAGTAAGTGTGTGAGTGTGTTGTTGTACGTGTGTGTGTGTGCAGGTCAGTGTGTGTATAAGTGTGTGAGAGTGTGCAGGTGAGTGTGTGTGTAAGTGTGTGAGTGTGTGCAGGTCAGTGTGTGTGTAAGTTTGTGAGTGTGTGCAGGTAAGTGTGTGTATAAGTGTGTGAGTGTGTGCAAGTAAGTGTGTACAAGTGAGTGTGTGTGGAAGGAAGTGTGTGAGAACACAGTAAAATACATTTGACCTTTTGCCTATCAGACATGAAGGATATATCATTGTATGGCCCTACAACATCCATCAACTCTCCCATGAACCATTCCTAAGAATCTCTTGTCTCAAACTCTACCACTGCAATTGCAACTGGAAACATATGACCATTCCCATCCATGGACACTACACTCAGTAGATGACCACCATAAGGACCCTTTAGGAAACATCCATCTACACCAATTAGTGGCCGACAATCTTCTTTAAAACCAGCTATCATTGCAGCATAACAAATAAATACTCTTTGAAAACCTTCTAACATTTTCATCAGCAGTGGGCTCAGTTTGTATTTTAACTACACTGCCAGGGTTGGTTCTCAATATCAAGCTACAGTAATCCCTCATTTTACCATACTGCTCAGTATCATTCCCCTCAATCATTTCTAATGCCTTTCTTTTAGCCCAATAAACTTTACGTGTAGACACATCAATGTTCATTTCAGATGTAATGGTGCTCTTAAGTGTTCCCACAGGTATCTTAGGGTTCAATCTCAGTTGTTCACAATATTTGTTTGCTAAGAAGGTTGATGAGGCCTGTCCATTTGTATTAGGCCATAAACAATTAGTATGTTCTGGCACATAGGTCTTAATAATCAAACAATCTTCATTTTCAGGTTTGCTTGTATGTATCCTCCAACCACATTCAGCCTTGCACACTGCAGTTACCCTATCTCCATCATTCCTTGTAAACATTATATCAAACTTGTTTTTCAATGCATTTTCCCTAAGTGCTAACCTAAAATCAGCAGCTGACCCAAATTTCATGCTTAATTCCAGTTCTTTTTTTTCCAAAATCCCTTGAAACAATGTAATCCTAGTGCATATAACCACTATCAACACATTCATCATCAGATTTACATAGACTTATCAACTCATCATTAGGACCATACTCACTTGACACTGGAGCAACGAGTTGGGTATCACTCATTAGATAATCCCACCCTAAATCAGCATCTGAGTTGACCTCATTCTCTGCCCCATTCAAAAAAAGGTGCAACAATGTATAATTTGACAACAGACATTTTTCCATGAGCTTCTTGGTCATAAAACATCCTGAACACATCTAAATCACACTTCACTTCTCTAAATTGTTGCCACTCATAAGGTACTTTGTAAAACACTTCACTGATCACCCCATACCCCAATGCAGTTGCCATCTTTTGAACCTCAGGATATGACATTATGTCAGGGTCTATCTTTTCAAATTTAGTTATATTTCCTCTTAAGTATGTTATAGGGGGTGATTTCTCAAATATACCCCCATGATGAAGTTCAATAGTAAACATATCATCCATCTACAACAACAAGTGGGTATTCAAAACCTCAATATAAATAATGACAAATACAACCTTCATCAAAACAACATAGACACTTTATTCAATAAGTGTACAAATAATAGAGACAATGCAATCATTAAATAACATATCCAATTCAATAATTTAAGCACATGATCACTATGTATGTCAGTATGCAATTGGGGTACAATTAAATAACACATGTTACATATTTAGTAACACAAAAGGGACCACTATAATATAGACAATGCAATCAATAATGTTGTGTCAAATTTAAATACACAAAAAGGACCACTACAAAGCATATCAGGTCATTTGACAAACATAGAGGGACCACCATTTCACATAAAGTCATGAAATAAAGACATTGTATACAATAGAAATAAACAATAACAACAGACAAGGTTTTTAGACAGGGACTAGTCGACATGAACAAGAAAAAAAACACTGCAAAAGACATTGTACCTCGGACCTTTCAAATAAAATAAAAATCAACTACAACATCAGAGTTTTAAAAATGCATGAACAAAAGCAAAACTTTTCTTCTAAAATGTCACAACAACATCAATTACAAACTTTTACTCATTTCCTTCAAAAATTCGACTAACACTTTATACAAAGCAAGAAAAACGCATGAACAAAGCAAGAAACAGACATAACTGAGCTTCGTCATTATATAACAAAATCGATATACACATATAAGAAAAATCAGTTAATTAGAGTAAGAGAGTTACTGAAAGCGAGTCCCACACCTTAAGGTAAACGTTTTTTAGGGTTTTATGTTGATTAGGTTTGCAGAGAATGACGATTTGCAGACAAGACCGATTTGCAGACAGGGCCGACAATGGCTTCCTTTTCTCCTCTCTTTGTTTTTGTCGTCAATGAAGGAAGGTCGGTTAGGTTAAGTTAGGTTTTGCTGATGTGTGCGTGATGTAAGCTAGCGATAAGAATCCTTATCTTGTTGTGCTGTCAAAATGCTATTGGTGGGTTAAATTTTATGTGCCACGTCAATAAGTGAAATTGATATTCACACCAAACTACGTCGTTTTATTAAAAGGGTAACTTGGTCTTTTTTCTTTTCTGGTCGTCTGAGTGGGTAAATTGTAAGAAAACGAAAGTTCAGGGGGATTTCTTGTAGTTCTGGGGGATTTCTTGTAGTTCTGGGAGGTTAGTTGCAAAATCCCCATAGTTCAGGGGTTTTTTTTTTTGCATTTTACCCTATTATTAATGGACAAACTAGTGAATCAGCATTAGAATCTTAACAGCTTTGACATTTCTAGCAGTTAGCTGGGAAAGTAAATTCTTGAATTCTTCACCAATCTCTCTCTCACACGCACACATACACATAGGAATGATTTGCCAAATCACTAATTACAAATTATAAAGTAATTTCATCTTGAGAGAAAAATTGATCTTATTCTCCAAACTCCATAATAGAGATGCAAACAAGAAAGAACACAAATGAGGAAGTCATCGTTGATGGATTTGTATTGGGCCTCAATTCAAATGAAAAGCCCATGGACTTTGACTAAAGAGCATACAGTAAAAGCTAGCCCACTTAAAAGTATTAAACTCCAAAAAAAACACTTAAGACTGTTAAACATGATGAAATTGAAATTAAAAATAATGAAAAATTTGATTCAATTTTCTGAATTATTTTTCTCGTATTCTGCAAATTCCAATTTCGAAACTCCAACTCCATATCTGTCAAACGTAGACAAATCATAACTCGGTTGCCAAAAATTGCCACTTTCTTCCCAATTTTGAAAGCTTCAAAATGAAGCTGACTTTGAGTTTTGGAAACCATAGCAGCCGCATCTTTCTCTCATCTCATCTCCCCTTCATCTCTCACTTCCTGTTCACTTTCTTCTATTTATGATCAAACAACTGTCACCACTAAACAAAACTAAAGGCTTGTAAGTGAATTATATATATTGTACAGTTAATAGGTATGTTAGTAGAGCCTTTATATATATATATATATATATTATTTCCCTTCAAAAACTCAAGACATATCAATGGAATAAACAGGGATATTTCTCAGTAGCAAATCAAACGATCCTTTCAATTGCCAAAAATCTCTTCATATCCATCCGCAGTGAATCTGTAGGATTCCCTTTCGAACCCCCCAAACAGAGGTTTTCCATGCGGATTTGATAGCGATTGTATGGACGTAGAAAGGAGTAAATCAGATTGAAGAATGGAATTCAGCATCCTCAAAATAATCTTCAAGTTCTTTTGTGTAAGTTGTCAGTGATGAAATAATAGAGAGAAAATCTTCCATTTTGGTGTCTGGTGAATTGGTTTTAGATGAAGAATTCTTTTGTGTCAAATTTTGGACTCTTTTCGAGATCTTCTCACTTAACTCAATACAATGACCAACTTTAAGTCTTGAGGCCACCAAGGAATTCCCCAGTACTTGACTCTCGGAGGTTTTCTCTTCTCTTTTGAATCAAACAGGGTACAGAAAAACTTTATATGAAAAATCAAAGCATCCTCGCACAGAATTATGCAAAGAACTGAGAAATCAAAAAGAAGAGACAAGTATTTTAAAAAAAGAAAAAAAGAAAAAAAAGAAGAGAGACGAGCAGTAGGGCCAACAAAGGACTCTCTATCACGACAATTCTTCCCATCACGGGTTGGAAAGAACTTGCAACAGATACAAAAACTTGCAGTTTGAATTTTATATACCTTCTTTCACTATCATTTTATAGGGGGAAGGCAGCCCCACCTCAGGGGTTGCATAGCAGAGCTGGCACTGCAACTAAACATAATGAAACACCAAGGAATAATACTTGGTTAAAATCAATTTACTAAAGCAACCAACAGTGAGCAAGATTATTTACTGATATTGATAAACTTTCAAACAACAAACTGTAATTTATCACAGGTCAACAACTGAATCGCAAGGCATGAGAATATTCCTTAGAGGATGTACACCTCTCCTTTGGGGGTAGGACAAACTATACTCAAGCAAATAGATGGTGGTCATCATTTCACCATATGATTGTCCTTTCAAACCATGGATCCACCTTGACTCTATTTGTCCTCCATTTGGGCCACAAGAACTTTTATGACTCCATTATTAATATAATTTACCGGCTCAGAGGTCACCTGCATATAGAGGAAGATTATTACCAAATAAAATAATAATAATAAATAAATAAATAAAAGGGCAAATTACAGTGACCTCCTCTGAGGTTTCATCAATATAGAGAAAGCTCCCCGTTTGCCAAATTACACGGACCTCTCCTCTCAGGACTTTAGATGAGATGATGTTAACTATTATTATATAATTACATTTATGTCCTTATTATATATATATTATTTTATTTCAAAATTTCAAAGACCAAAATATCCATCTATATTTATTATTACTTTTCAAGTCAAGAAAAAAAAAATGAAAAATAGATTACTTTCTGCCTTTTTTATTTTCTAATCCGTCTCCTCTTTACGGTAAACCATTTTTTCTGGTAGCTTCCATATTTGCTGACAATCATCACCCATGCATAAAGATCTTAAAATAGCTTTAGTAAAGATACCAAGTGAACTTATTGATGGTAAGAGGTTAAGGTTTGGTCCATTTTACTTGTAAATTTAAGATCATCAAAGAAATTCCTTCAACAAGCTGTCTTTACAATACCCCATTATGTTCTGCTCTCCTAAAATCTAATGAAACCCACCCCAAATTTCTTAGAATGACCTACAATTGTTACAATAAAGCAAAAAACTTACACCTTTTTAACCACTAAATTCACCCCATCAGTCCACATAAAAACAAGACCACCAGGTCTACCAACGGGCCGGATCAACCCAAATCATATGATCAAAAACCACTTGTCTCATTACTCTTTCCAAAACTTTTTATTATTATTATTTTTTCTCCAAAAGGAATCGAAAGCATACTTTGTTGATCAATATGGATGTCCAATATGATTCATATGATTACAAAACCACCAAATCGCATGGGCTCTGTTCTCTTTAAGCTCTTTCTCGGTTGGGTCTCTTAATGAACAAGTGTTGTCTCTCTTTTATATATATATGTGTGTGTGTATAGATCTGTATTTTAATTGTCTTTTTGAGTTTATAAGTCAAGGATAGTATTATAAATTTGCAGTGATTGTCAGTGTTATTTGACAAACAAGAGGGGAGGTCAGTGTAAAAAAAATAAATTCTAGGTCAGTGTAAAAAAAATAATTTCTTTATATATGAAAGAAATGGAAGGGTCTGATAAAAACAATGGGAATTTATGTTCAACTAAATGCCATCCCAATGATAAAGTTCGACGACATTCACTTAAAGAACGGAAAAATGAAGCAAAAAAAGTAAATTTCTTGTAAAGGTAGAGTAGTAAAGTGTGTGTGTGTTTGAGTCACGTGTCACAAATGTTACATATTATCCAATATGGGATATAATTTGACTGGTTTTTGTCCCAACATAAAAAAACAAATGATAGTGTTAATCTTGAAGTAGCATCGCTTTTCAGCAAAGAAAGAAAATGAAGTACAGTAAAGAGAAATTTCTAATAAATCCGCCTTGACTCTCTAATAAGCATATTCGGAAACTACCAATTTAATTTGTTTCCACCTGTATTTAGTGGATAATAAACACCATTGCATAATCAGAATTGAAACTGAAGAAAAAAATTTGAGCAGGGATAACCATGAACCCTAACTAGTAAGCACTGAAACCAAATTTCAAATTAATTCTAATGTCAGAGAGAGGAAAGGGATGGGGTTTTGTTTCGGTGCTGCTTAAACGAAAAATAACAATAACACAAAACAAACTTACTCTTTTCCGAATCTACTCAATCCAAATAATTCTCCCTTCCCAATAAGTAAACCTATATCAAAAGCAAATTTTTAACTGGTCAGCAAAAATTATTACGCACTAAGTACTCATGCATTTCCTGACATAATCTTTATATTGAAAGGCACATGATTCAGATCGGAAAAGAAAAGAAAAGAAAAAAAGGTCTTTGCATTCCCAACTTATAATTCTTGCACCAAATCATAACAATAAAGTACGCAAAACCTGAATAAAATATATATCAGCAAGGATTTAGAAGCGAGAGGAAGAATAAGAGTTCCTGATGATTGAGGCGGCATAGCATAGCAAGAAAGGTAAGACCAAAAGTGGGGATTTTATTCAGAGGAGGGAAGTGAGTTTTACGGATTTGATTTTTTTTTGCCCTATAAATGAGGGTTCGGCGGATCGCGAGGGAGGCATAGAATGAAAATTAGGGCTATGTTTCTCATTTATATGGACTTTTTGGACCTCAAGTATGTGGGCCTTTCTTATTTCAAAAGCCCAAGTGAACCAAGTCTTAACACGTTGGGCTTCACCTTAATTGCTTTCTTTATTTTAACTAATTTAAATCTCCTTTTCTTAGCCAGCTGACGTGGCCGAATCCTGGCCGTTGCACAACAGATAGAAGCCGAGGGAGACTAGAAACGTCGATGACCCTTAACTCTCTCCCTCTTTTTTGGTGCAGCATTTCAATTTTTTTTCTTTTAAATTTTTAGATAAATAAATTAAAGTCATTATGAATCTCTCTCTTGCGTCAATCTTGCTATAAAAGGTCATTAAAATTGTTCATTAAATGTTGGGTTGGCCGGATCAAAACCGTCTCCGGGCAACAGTAAATGTGTTGCAACCGGTGCAGTAATTCACTTGGGTAAAAGCCACAGGTTAAATATAATATTTGGTTTAAATACGGAAGGTATAATATTTGGTTTGGTTTATATACGATACGATACCTAAACTCTCCCCCCTTAATTTGATGGCCCCTTTTGAAATTTGGAAGGCACGCCCATTCATTCAAATTCCACTTTCTATCTTCTAAATTCCATTTTTCTCTCTTCACAAATCAAACCTATGTAACTCAAAAATCACACCATTGTTCATCACTAAGTTCTGATTTAGGGTTCTGTATTAGAAACAAAAAGAGCAAAACCAAGTATGTGATTTAGGGTTCTATTCTTTAACCTCTGTTGAGATCCTATTGATATATGATAGAAAAGACCTCTCTCTATATTTTACTAAGGAGGGCTCGGCTAGAGAGCGAGAGAGGAAACCTAGAGGATGAGGAAGTGAGAGCTCACCGAAGTTATACAAGAAGATCAGTTCCAGCGGATTGTCAAAGCTTTGGAGGTAGATCTATACACCAACAACGACAAGTTCATGTTGTATGCTTTTTTTTTTTTCTTTTTTTTTTTTTTTTTATGTTTCTTAGCTTTTCAATTTATCTGATTTTACTTTAAATTGGAATTCCCCAATCAGTTCATTTGATTTATTTTATTTTTCACAAATTATTTCTTCTGAAAAATCGGATGTGGCATTGATTTGTTATCTATCCCGTTGATGGTGTTGAGATTGTTGTGTCTAGTCTATTATTTGGCTGGAATATTTCGACTCAACCGGGTTTCTCGTGTAACTAGCGATGGTGGTGTTGGGTTTCTAGGAAATGGACAGGTTCGTGATCCGATTATCTCACAAAATCCCATCGATTATTGCTTCTCTCTTTCTCTATTTGACTGCAATAGAATATATATTTTTTAATATTTTGCTCTGTATGATCATATATGTGCCAGGAAAAAAAAATCAAATATGCAAAATTAGATTTTGGATCTGTTGTAGATTTTTCCTATTTTAAGAAAAAATGTTTCCTTATGTTCCTATTTGAATTGTTCCTTCACTTTGTGGTTGAAGGGGATCGGTATTCTCTTTATTGAAAAAGAGGAAAAAGGGGTCCTATGATGGAGGATCGATTTTCAGCCCTGTCGATGTTCAAGGAGATTCCAAATAGGTACTCTTTAGATGAAATTTTTTTGTTACTTTGTATATGTTTTTAAGAAAGTGAATGGCGAAATATCTCTCGTCTTTTAGCGGTAATTAAGTGAACTATGAAATATATCATTGCATCATTCAGGAAGAGATGAGTATTAGAAATAATTTTTAGGGCTGAATTACATAATTTACCAATTATAGGAATTTGAAAATATTTTAGAAAGCAAGCAATTAGCCTCCCCAATTTTTTTCATGATAAAATCTAAGCATAAGAATTAGCCATTCTTGTTTTTTGGTCTTGAAGCACTAGTATTCTAATAATTAATGGTATACTTCATGTTTGACATTGCTGGTTGTTGGTTGGTAATTGCTATTTTTGAAGAATATAGTAAGGTGTTAATCATCATTAGCATCACTTATGTTACCAAGTATGGCCATGATTAGTTTTATTAAGTTGTGATTATGTCAGATCATTCAAAAAGATGATTAACCAATATAAACTGGTTGATGCTTCACTCTATATAAATTTAACGATGACATGATTTTCCTATAATTATTAGAGTATGAAACAACAATGTAGAATGAATGGGCAGTATATCTAGTAGGCTTGTTTAATAGCAGACTCTACCACCTGTTGCATATCAAGTAGACTTATATGGGTATATTTTTAATGTTTATTTTGAATGTGAAGTATATTGATATATATATATATATATATATATATATATATATATATATATATATATATATATATATATATTATTGTTGGCACAAGATTATTTATTGATTTTGTTTCTCTGTTTTGACCAATGGATAATAGAACCATCTTGGATTGATAAAAGCTTGTCCCTTCTAAAAAGAGAAATATCAAGATATAGTGGAATAGTAAAACCATCAAGGTACTTTTTTTTTATGAAGTTGTGAAGGTTTTTTTGTAATATTCCATTTCAATATAAGATGTAAAATACTTTTCTTTGTTGTCATGTTTATGATGCCAATTGCCTTCCCAAATTTATTTTTACCTTTTTGATGATTATATTCTAGGAATATAAATTACCGACTCGTTGGCTAAACAAGTGTATGCAAAACCCATATCCATTTATTTAATTTGCCTTACAACGATCCACTTTGGTTAATTAGTTCTTAAGAACACTTGTTTGTAGTGATGTGATTACATTGTACTGTAGATATAAACATACGCCTTCAGTGGTAATCTCTTTCAACCTTGTTCTTCTGATACCACAACTACATAACCTTTTCTTGATAAAATTTTCTATAAGTGCAGTTCAAGTTTATGAGATGTTACAAATTGGAGATAATATGAGTTTGAACATAAGAAACTAATTTTTAATATTCTATAGCTTTTTATTATTAACTATCTTTTGGTTTTATGATTTTTAAGCCAATTATTTAATTAGAAGTAAACTATTAGTATTTTTAGCATGTATAGTTCTAACTCATTTTTAATTATTTCAATGGATATGATGATTGTTTGATATAACTTTCAAAACGAATCTGTTCAACATGTAGTTCATTGTAATTCAATCTCACTGATGGTTTTTTCTTTTCTTTTATTTTTACTTTTGAAAGAAAAACGAAAAAGAACATCTTTTCTAAATTCTAAACTTTGATTATTTATTAGTTCCATGGTTTTTTAGCATTATGATTTTTTCCTCCTATCATTAAAATCAAGTGATAATATTGAAAGTTGTAGTTAGAAAAATTAAAATAGAAATAAATGTTTATGTTTTCAGTATTTGTTATGCACTGCACCCCAACGAATGTTTGGTAGCTGTTCCTCAATTTAATTTTTTGTGGCCTATTTAAACTACATAATATTGACTTGGATATGTAATAGTCTCATAGTTTTAATCGTTTTGTGAATTTGATATTGGAGTGTTTTATATCTCAAGATTTTTAATCCAATCATGTGAAAACTGATGATCTATATTTTGTAATTTATTGGGTTGGTGCAAGGGTATAAGAGGCCATTGTGGGAGGATGTCTAAATTATGATGATGTTTACAAGGAGGTAAACCCCAAAAGGTGACTACCGGGAAGGTATTACAAGGTTCAATGCTTGGATCAAACACAACTCTTGAGAGCAGTCGATTTAATGATGCATGATCAAAGAAAGTTTAAAACCTTCTGTGTCCTACTTGATGATTTAAAGAAACCAGGGATTTTGATGCATTTGAATTAATGAGTAGTTTGTAGTTATGTTTAGTTATAGCGTATTTGGATCATATTATTATGGTTGGACTAAATTTCAAATTATCTTTTTTTTTTTTTTTTTCTTTCCTTTTTTGTTATTACCAAATTTAGAATCTAGTTGTAGTTATTTGTACCTTTATCTCTGTAATAGAGGTTTTGGCTTTTTGACAAGTTTTGCTCTTTGTTGTGGACCATTAGTTTCAAAAGGTTACCTTTGAATGCGATGCACTGTCAGTGGTTAATAGTGTCAATAATTATAGATATATTGGTAATGGCGTGGTAGTGATGTTGGAAAATATTATCTGAGGCATAGATGTATTAAGTAATGGCGTGGTAGTGATGTTGGAAAATATTATCTGAGGCATAGATGTATTAAGTAATGGCATGGTAGTGACGTTGGAAAACTTCCAACTATTACTGTAGGAGCATATCTACGAATAAACATGGAAGTCCATGAGATGTTTATACACTATATGGAGCGTGCGTTTGGTGCCAAACCTTGTAAATGCAATTAATATATATATATACATAAACACTTATTGATGTATATATATCAGTTTGTACCAATATTCATTATCAATCCCAATTTTCTCCTTAACAACATCCCAACCTTCTCTTTAACAACATTCCAACTATCTATTTCACCTTTTTTTTTTTAGTTGAATGGGTAAGCTTTTTTAAAAAAGAAAAAGATTTACAAGTCCAAAGCTGGACAAATGAACCTTAGAAGTGCCCTTGTGTTCCTTTCTTGCCAAATGAAATAGATAGATGCAAAGAGAAGAAGTTTATGAGTGACCCATTTACCATCATACCATGAGGCCAATTATAAGAACACCAATCAATGAGCTCTCTCCAACTATTAGGCTTGGTGTAGAAGCCTACCACATGCTGAATGAACTCCCAAATTATACAACTGTATCTGCACTTGAAGACCAATGATTCCTAGTCCGCAAGGCAAAGATAACAGGCATTGGTGTAATGTTTTTTCCTCATTACAATAGAATCAAGAGTATACAGCCTCTCTTTGAGTGATATATTTCTTTTGTTTGGGATACATATTAGGAAAATGTTGGGACGTTGGTCTTGTATCACAACATTTTCTTAATGTACATTCCAATTTTCTCCTTACTAGCATCTCAATATTTTTCTAACGTACATCCCAAACAAGATAAATAGATAAATAGTGTGATGTTAGTTTGGAGAAAGTTGGGATGTAGGTTAGGAAAATGTTATGATGCAAGACCAAAACAAACATATCTTGGTACAAATTGTTTGTGAGATATATTTTTGTAATTGGCATATTTCGGTAACAAAACAAGTCCTAGTCGAGTTGTAATTTCAGTTACCATATCCGACTTGACATCGACTGCGGAATGTAGAGGTTAAACAGAAGAGGAAAGTACCGTTGCTCATCAAAAATGAAAGAACAACGATTAGGACATCATTTCCCACTTAGGACACAATGTTGTACATGGTATATTTTCAGAGTTCAAAAAATACAGAATTTCCAAGTTTAGGTTGAATTCTGTCACGTAGGAACTGGTTCCAGAAGCCAAACTTCAAAGAACAACTCTGTGTCCTTTGGGAACCGGTACCAAGGTTGGGAACCGGTTCCACAAGTCCTAATTGCAAAAGGATTCCAGTAATTCCTTTTTAATCCAACTTTCCTTCCAAGTCTTATGCACGAAATTTCCTTTATTTTTAGAAGGAATAGGACTTTGCAAACCTCTATATAAACCATGTCATATTCATTGGTTTATTCACGGCTTTTACATCATTATTCATATATTATACAAAGCCTTAAGAAGTTTTTTTTTCTCAAAAAATCAAAGTTGATTTTTCTGTTGTCTTCCTAGAATACACACATATTCACCTAGTGAGTTTAGAGTTGTGGTGTTCAAATCCTGATCGTGATCATACAGTTGCATCTACAACGATTAGACGAAAGCATATCTTCTTCTACATCGAATTCAGACGATTGAAGAACAGAAGTAAAAGCGATCACACTTTGAAAGGGTTGGAGCATTTGAGGAGTGTTGTCTAATCTACCTGTTACTCTTTTACAAATATCAAGTATAAATCTGAGGTTAAGTTGCTGTTGGATGAGGAGTCGCAAAGCCAGAGGATTGTCAGTAGTTGATGTTTGGTAGAACGATAGGGTGTGAGCTAGAGTCAAAGTTTGGTATACTTTGTTTCAAGCGTAGTGGATTGGTTTGCTTTGGACTGCACAGTCCACAAGGTTTTTCCCATAACAGTTGATATATTTTATCAACTGGGGTTTCCTCGTTAAAATTCTGGTGTCATCTCTAACTTTATACTTTGCTTTATTTTATCTGCATATGATTAATTGTTTAATTACTAAAATAAATAAAGTTGGAAAAGACATAGATCTATTTTAAAATAAACAAAACTTTCTAAGTATTTTTCGTTGCGTATGACTCACATTGTTTATTTTGGTCTTGCATCACAATATTTTCCTAACTTAAATCCCAACTTTCTCCTTACTAGCATCCCAACATTTTTCTAACGTACATCCTAAATAAGATAGAGATGAATAGTGTGATGTTGGTAAGAAGAAAGTTGGGATGTTGATGGTGGGAAAGTTGGGATGTAGGGTAGGAAAATGTTGTGATATACAATTTGTACCAAGATATGTTTATTTATGTATTTGTACAATAAGTGGAATATTAGTAAGATGAAAGTTGGGATACAAGATGGTATGTTGTAGATGCAGATGGTATGTTGCATCTACCACATACAAGAAGTTGTGGGCATACCATCTATTCTAGAACATACCATTTGTTCTATAAATGTTGTGATATAAAAGAAATTGTAGGTTAGAGAAATGTTTGTAGAGAGATTAGAAAACGTATAGATAAGAGTTGAATTAAATTTTGAGATAGTGTGGATGCAAGTACTTTCTTCAGTAGGAATATATTGGGATGTTATGTATAACTTAGTCATGAACCAAGTAACTAAAGATCAGGATTATTTGTACAAATGTATTTGCATATAAGTTACAAGTACTTTATTCAGTAGGAATATATTGGGATGTTGTGCATAACTTAGTTATGAAACCAAGTAACTAAAGCTCGGAATGATTTGTATAAATATATTTGCATAAGCCTATGAGTTAAAACTTAAATTTTAAATATTAGTTTGTCCCTAAAAATTGGATAACGTATGGATAAGAGTTTAATTAAATTTAAAGAAATGTGGTTGCAACTATTCTGTTTAATCGGAATATATTGGGATGTTGTGTATAACTTAGTCATGAAACCAATTAATGAAAGGTCGGAATGATTTGTACAAATGGAATGATTTGTACAAATATATTTCCCTAAGCCTATAAGTTAAAACTTGAATTTGAAATATACTAGTTTGAATTTAAATAGTGAAGCCTAAAAATATGTGATTCTCTTTACATTTATGTTGGGATTTTATGAATAACTACTTGTGGACCTATACTACATCTATGTTGGGTTTCTTCCTAAGGTGATTCTAGCTAGTTTAATCTTGGGAATTAATAGAGATTTTGTAAATTCACCGTGATTAATTCATGGTCCTCACCATCTCTTCGATAGGCGTCGATGAATTGGGTTGGCGGCAATAACTGAAATCTGACGCATTGTTTAGTGTTTGATTAGGTGAAGAATATTTTAATGCCCTTTCAATGTTGAAGGGGAAAGACGAGAGCGAGGGGGGAAGGCGCCACAGGTGCCTCTGGGTGCTGTTTGCCTTGCTAGCCACCATCTGAAGAGGAGAGAGAGAATTAGGGCGATGGTGATTGAAGGAGAAAGACCGTATGTATTTCAATTTTTAGAAAAAAAAAATATATATATATATATATATATATATATATATATTTGGTATAAAATATAAAATTCTTTTTTTATTTCGTATAAAGTATAAAAAAACTTTCCATACTTGTATAAAAGCATTCAGTAAGTTTTTTTTTACTCAATTGACTTTGAGTGACGTGGCGCATGGAGAACCACAAGTTCCGCACCGGCTGCAACAGATTTACTGTTGCGCCGGAGACGATTTTGATCTGGGTTGACCGGTCATTAAATGTTAAAATCCTTTATTAACCACAAAACATCATTCTGTTTATATATATATATATATATATATATTATATGTTTATGGGGCCCACAATCTTAAGTCATCCATGACGACATTGTTGGCTTACTGAGAAAGCTCAATTCTTGCTTACAGTGAAAGCTTTGTTGGCTTACGGAGAAAGCTCAATTCTTGCTTACAATGAAAGCCTTATTATAGCTTGTTTAGGAAGCTAAAATTGCGAGCCTATAAATAAGCCATATGTATATACTGCCTGTAAGGACACACTTAAATGAAAAGCTTTCCGTTCTCTCTCTCTCTCTCTCTCTCTCTCTCTGTGAAAGATTTATTTCTATGAATATTACTCTATATATACATATATATTCATTACACGTTATTAGCACAAGACTCTGTCAACTGAGAAGAAAATTATATTTTTCTTTCTCACTTCAAAGGGTAAGAAAAATAATTATTTATATTAAACTATTGTTGTTCAAACTTTATAGTTAATTAAAATTGCTAAGCCCGAAGTCTCGCAAATACTAAATTATATAATTTGCAAACTCAAAGTTTTGCATATATTAATATACTGTTTGCGAGCCTAAAGTTTCACAAATATTTGGTACTCTTTCCGAACCCGAAGTTTTGCAAAATTTGTTGCCCTGAAGTCCAAATTAATCTAAAATTCTTTGACCTGAAGTCATTTACACTGAGTACCCTTACAAACTTGAAGTTGTGCAAAACATAGAAATATAAATTATAAGTGTAAACATATTTTGTCTTTTTGCTATTGTTTTGTTTACTGAAAACACATGATTAACTTTTTGACATTGTATAATATATTTACTGACAATTCATATTATATTTGCTAAATATCTTGTTACAATCTTTTGCATGTTACTTTATGTATAGTAATATATACTATACATATAACTTGGCTCAGATTTGAGTACGTAAAAGAAAAAAAAAAAATTTAATTACCACATGATTTGAACCGTGGCCCTTTAATACGCAAGTTGAGTTAACAAGCCACCAAGCCACTTGTTCTGTTGTGATTATAAATTGACTATTATTTATATATATGATATCACCACTATGCAAATCATATT